AGCCACTCATATTCCGCAGCCAGACCTTCGACCCGAAGTGAAGCCTGCAGCCATTTAGACTTTCGTATCCGCACCGGCAACATCCAAAAAGAAGGATGTGTGTGAGCAGCAGAAATCCCATGCGAGCTCTTCCTCCCTTAGCCCACTAATCATGCTGGAACAACACTGCTCGCGCCGTGGGGCGCTCCACACTCTGCCAAATGAGAAGAACACCCCTGTGCAAAACGACAGTCGGTCTTCCAGATCTTGTGATGGCACACTTCCGTTGACCAATCTCTATACTGAATGTTAAGTTCAGAGCGTGCATCATATAATCGTGTGAATCTGCGCCTCCCGGCGAGGTCTCCTGGGAGAGCTCTGGAGCGTGGTGGGCTCCTCCGGCCAGTCGAAACTCTCGACCTGGCAAGTTGCAAGGAATTCTTTGCCCAACTGCAAAACCCAATAGCTTTTCCAAAGTCGAGGGACCCATCAGGGCATGCCCAAAATCTCGGCAATCCCCAATGTCAGGCTGTGCACATAACGAAGCCCCATTTTTGGAAGACTATGAACCAATGAAACATTGAGCCGATCCTCGGGAGTTGCTGCCTTCTTCCGAGCAGGTGCCGGGCTTCCCTCTGGGCTTGGGCAACCTCTGCTGAACGTGCAGTACTGGGCGGGAGGCGGGAGGGGGGGGGGCGGGGGGCGTTTCTTTAAGGATATTAGGGGCATTCGGGTTCTTAGGGCTATCAGGGTTTAGTGTTAGTTGGGAGAAGTCTTCAGGACTGGGTGCAATTCTGACCTCCAGCCCAGATAGCAAGCTAGTAGGTTTGGAGCTTAGGTGCTCATAGAGCATGAGGAATGATATTTCGTAAATTCCTACAAAGCACGTCCAAAGTGATGAAGCTTGTTGCAAAGTCCAAGTCAACTGGCATTCGGGGAGATACCTTGCGGACAATCGCTGGAATCTATTTTCCCGAATGCGTAGCAGAAGGGTTCCCGTTTTAAAGTTGGGGTCCAGGGGTCCAGGAGGCGACGCGAGGTCGTTGCGTTCTGTTCGCAAAGCGTCCGCAAGCGTTCGCGGAGGGTCGGACATGCCGGAGAGACAAACGACACGAAAATCGTCGCGAAACGCAGAACTGTCGTCACTTTTTACGTCTCGCATTACAAAATGTCAACAGCCACAGGGATCGGGGGGGTCGTGGTCGCGAAACCCAGAACTGTCGTCACTTTTGGACTCGTCTCGTCTCTTCGCGTCTCAAAAGTGTCAACAGCCACAGGGACCGGGGGGGTCGTGGTCGCGAAACCCAGAACTGTCGTCACTTTTGGACTCGCCTCTGGAGAGAGGAAAGGAAACAGGAGAGAGGAGAAAAGAGAGATGAGAGGAGAGAACAGAGGAGAGAGGAGAGAAGAGAAGAGTGGATAGAAGAAAGGAGAGAGGAGAGAGGAGAGGAGAGAGGAGAGGAGAGAGGAGAGGAGAGAGGAGAGAAGAGGGCGAGTCCAAAAGTGACGACAGTTCCGGGTTTCGCGACCACGACCCCCGCGAT